GGCAGGAATTGCGAAAGAAAGACTTCCCCGATCAGTTCTTTCATCGAGTACTGAAGCACTTTGCTGTCCGTAGAGGCAATGTGTGGGAGTATACAGTTCGTCTCTTGGAGGACTAGACTGCCGGTGATTTTTTGCGACGTCATGATGAGTGGATGCGCAATCCAGTCCGTTTGGAATTGCCCCGGAGCTTTCTTTGGTAGGATGTCTGTGTTTTGTTTGCACAAGTATGGTTTTCTCGATGTTTTGAAGCCATAGTGTTTTTTACCATATTCGGACAGGGCTTACTTTCTGTAGATTTTTTGCAGCTGTAGTTGCTCGGGTTTCCGTGTAGGGTTCTAGACTGTTTTGTTGCACCCGGAGTTGCTCTGTTTTCAGGGTAGGCTTCTAGATTCGGTTGTCTTGGCTTTTGAACATGTGAACCCCTAGGATAGGGCTTACCGTCCGTGCCTTTTCGTCTGTTGCATAGGTTCCTGGACCGGTTTTCTTGGGGTTGAACATGTGAACCCAGCGGCGGGGCCTGCTGGTTCTCTCGGGTTTGTCGATGGATTTTTTTCGGCTTTCCTTTTCGTTTATCTTTAGTTCGGAATGGACGCCTCTGGAAGGTCGTCCCGCACCGGGGTCTGTCCCAACGGGAGTGTTTGATGTTTGTTTACCATATAAGCAGGCGTTGACAGTTGTTAGTCAGGACTAATGTTTCGGAAGCCCCGGAAGCCAGCTGTCCGGAAGCCAGGTTGGGCGGTAGAACGGGAGCGGGTGAGGGGAAGTTTGACTAGTGTGGGTTCGTAGGAGGATAACCCCCTGATGAGTTCGGCCTGGCAGCCGTCGAAACGCGTCGGGGACGCCATCCTGTGATACTTCTTCCATTTGTAACAATTGAAGCTTTGCTTGCTTTTCTTCAAGTTTCACCTGAATCTTGAAAGTTTGATGTTTTCTACTACTTCTACGTCCGGGCGTGGATGAACCTGACCGCAATCATGGCCAGAAGTTATTAGAAAACGTACTTCCTTCTCCCCCCAATGCAATGTACGGTCATTATAGCTGCATTTGAGCCATCTTTCAGTCTAGATACAGCTATAATGACCGTACGTTGTATTCGGGGGAAGAAGGCAGTGTGAGTATGTCCTTAGCAGTTAGATGTGTGCTGATTTGAGCGCCTCGCCACACCACTCTTCAAATGTGCAAAATGAGAATGAACTTCCCGCTAGAACATGGCCAGATGCATCCTCTACATTTTTGTCTTTTTCGCATTTCGAGCGTTGTCTGGCGATGCCCTTGAGCCAGATCCCATCCGACGCGTCCTTCGTTTTTTTTTTATTTTTTTTTATTTTTTACGCCTCGTTCGTTTTGGAGCTGCCCGCCAGTTAGACCCTCGATGGGGGTCCCAACAGGGAAAGAGATCCACGCGGCCCCCCCCTCCCCCCACCAAACATGGAACGATCTCCACGGATTCAAGCGGAAGAAGACCGGTGAGAGAGAGAGAGAGAGGCCTATTCCCCCACACATCCTCCCACGAGGGCTGATACAAATAGC